ATACCAATTATAAAAACTTTATTTGTTTAGCCTGGTTCATGCTGCACAAGCAGACCCTAACACAGGTAAATAATAACGATTAAGAAAATGCTACATGATTAAAAGCTCTGTGTCAAATATAATTGAAGGAATTGAATAGTAAAGGTAACCAAACAGTAAAGCCGAACAATTGAAAGGTTTTTCATTTCTTTTGGAAATTGCAAAGTGAGCTTGCCAATGTTTGTGCTGTTTTCACAAGCTGCCACAACCATCGACTTAGAATAAAGTGACGAGGCAGTGACTGTGTTTACATGGACACAAATATTCCAATATTACCTCATCAGGACAACAGTCTGAATAAGACACCAACATGTAAACAATATTTACCTTAACTTGAATGATGTCATACTCAGAAAAAGCAAGGATCAAATCAAGACATATGGAGTATTCCAACCTTAGTCACATTATGAAGACAAGTATACATCTTTGCAGTATAATGCCCTAACAGAGTTTTCACAGCGTTTGCTACAGTAACATATTGCAGTTATAGTGACTGCTGGACGACACATGCCCTGGGTGTAGAGATGGAAATTTAAACAAGACTTGGAGCTTTTGCAAAATTAGAAAGAAAACAGCCCAAATGGTATATATGGTAGCATCGTACATTCAAATATTTTAGGTTTGGGTTTTATAACAAGCTGGATAAAATCTGAGATAATGGTGAAGTCATACTCTGTGGCTGTGTTCTGTCACATGTAAACTGCAACATGAATGAAATATTCTATCAGCAACTCATATAAACACCATAATCATCAAAAAACAACAGCAATGACTGTTATATTATGAAGTCAGATGATATCTTAAGTTGGATGTAAAAACAAATGTTTGGATGATAATTTAAAGTATGTAGAAGTTGTAGAATTCAGTGATATCTCGTGATGAAGTGTCATGTCACAGCTGAACACCCCTCACCTCACCCTCTCCTTCCAAACATGAGAAAGAACCTCTGGTAGCCTTTAATTGTCATAAAAACTCAAAAGGTGTTTAGTTTGTCCAGTCTGGACTAATGTAAAAAAACATGGCGGCCTCCGTAGAGAGGGTCCCCTCGATGTAAATATAAAGTATTTAAATATAAAGGACCTTTTCTGGGGTAAAGAAAACTACAATTCATACAATTTAGATGAAATGAACTAGTGAAAACATCATGAGGATTATTCTACATGAAATTTCTGCCAATAGATTCCTTTCACCTAAATCTTACACACTGGAGCTTTAAACAAGTCACTGTGTTTACATGGGTCAGTATTCTGAGGAATAATAAGAACTATATAAGCTCATAATGTTGCTGTTGAAGCCTCAACACACATACAAGTGGTTTTACTGATGCCGCCTGACTTGACCTCTTAAGACTGAGGCTGTGTCCAAAACCACAACCTGCCTTCACTGCTCTAAATCCACCATTCATCCACCTCCACCATTTTACTTCACTTATGTGTGTGAAATGTATGCTCTATATAATACACTATAAATGCGTCATACTACACAGACACAATATGTCTACTTTACACTAATAATCCCACAATTCCACACGATGCTTCACATTTGATAGATTACATCATTATCACTGTATCAGTGATGATACAAAATGATGATGATTCATAAGTGTTGAAAACCTCACTTTGCTATAGATTCAAGTACAGAGCATTTATCTATAACGCAGCTCATGTGCTTGATTGACAGCTGCCTCCATCTCCTCTACACCCTAGTTTTGTCGGCTCTGTCTGGGTGGAGCAGATGTGATGTATAAATTCTGCTGCTGAGATCACGTGGTTTTTTTCACAGAACACTGGTGTCTGCTCTTACCAAAATATTCAAAAAAAAAAATTTCTTTTTGAAATGTGACATCCTCGTCCGCCTCTCCTTTGTGTGCTGCCCCTCTTTTCCTCCTGAAATATTTATGGTTTTGTTTTTTCAGATTTGCGTATGTCATCAACACGCACACTCGCTTGTGATCGATCCTCGGGATAGTCACATTTGTGTTCTCACATACACATGGATAATTTCAGGAGATGATCTGGAGTTCAGTGAATGTCTAAGTAGCTATAAGGAGCAGCTAAAGTATTTCCATTGATTCTTTTTTTGCATGTTTTGCTTTGTGCACAAAGACACCTGATCAGATATACTGTATACCCAAAACGTTTTTTATGCTTGGCCAAGATGGAAAAACATGTATTTAAAAATTAAATAACCATGGAAACAAAAATACACCTTTTTGCTTTATATTACAGTCTCTCCGTCTCTGTGCCGCTAGTCAGTGGGGAGCTGGTGTTTGTGACAGTGACATAATGCCAAACTCTTGCTGAGAGGAAGAAAGAAGGGTACAGAGAGATAACGGTGGCAGATACAAAGAGTGGAGAACAGTCAAGTGATGCTCCTGTCATTTATCTCAGCAGTGGTACCATGTCTCTGTATTTATTTCTGCTCATTCCCTCTCTCTCTCCGTGTCCCTGTCTCTATAGACATCTTTCTTTCCTTTGAACGTCCTTTAAACCCTTTCACCTCCTCAGAAATGACAAATCAGTGGTCTCTTACATGTCTGCCGACACTCAGATTCTATCCACATTGTTTTCCTTGCTGCAGCTTCACAACAAAACATTATTAAAACACTATATAAAGAAAGGTATGTGTTGTTTGGCCGAGAATAATACTTTTAGTTTTTAATTGTGTTACCTCCACACATCTGCCCCCCTCACACATGCTCATTCACCAAAGGGGGAAGTGCGACGCAGGGGAGTGGGAAGCAGGAAAAGGCAAACGGCGAGACCCGGTGTGAGAGACACTGACGCTATGGGTGTGTGCTACTGCTGCTCTTCTCTCAGCTCTCAGCAAGAGAAAGCTGCACACACACACCGTTATTTAAATATCCTCCTCCCTGTCTCACCCGCTGTCCCCCCCTCTCACCTCCTTCGAGACACTCTGCAGTATACTCACCCCTTCTTCCTCTTCACCCTCACATTCCCCCCACAACAAGTTCTCTTCCTCCCTCAGCATCTCGCTTTCTTTGCACCTCCAGCCTCCATCCCTGCCTCTTTCCCACCTTCGTCCCCCCCTCCTTTCCTCGAGGTACAATGAGGGTTCTCGCAACAATAGCTGTTTTTTTTAAAGACGTGAAATCAAGTTTTGTTAATTTCGCTTTAACTGCATCATCTGTCCCAAGTTTATTGAAGTTTCCTCCTCTCTGCTTTGCCAACCCCTTCCACACATCCCCCTCCCTCCTCCTCCACCTCCGCCTCTCTCTCTTTTCTGCCAGCGCAGTCTGTCCCTCCACTTTAAAGGAGCCATATTGTTGTTATTATCATTGTCTCTAACTGAATCAGTTACCATTAGACCTGAATCTTTCTCCTTCTGAGGCCCATAGACCAGCTCTCTAACCCAATAGAAATCCCATGGGCACTATTACAGATGGCTCACCCATTCTCAACATGTACATACACACACAGAGTACAAAAACACAGATTTCATTCTGAAGATTCATCGACCTAATCCCATCACACTCAAACAGGGACACATGCACTTATATACACACGTGCCTGTT